ACTACCAACACAACCTGGATGCAAAATGCGTACCGTATACATTTTACATTTGTTTTGTATTAGTATCCCTAGTATAAGCCCATGTGTAAAGAGTAAATTTTCCTCCGCTATAAGAACTTGTGTCTTATGTACTAGGCCTTGAAGTGAAACTTGGGTGGGAGAAGGGTTACCTTTTCTGACCTTTTGGATACTGCTAGCTCCTGGCCTATCATACATCTCATTGATCATCATCACACAGTGGGTCAATGACCCAGAACAAGTTTGGAACAAACCCAAATGCTTGTCCTGGTTTATTGTCTCACCCTCTAGAAGAATACACAGTATAAGAACATGGTGATAGAATAGGAATAGGGCTATTAACAATTTAATTCCTTGTGCAGTCTCCAATCCTCCCAGTCTGTGGCTCCGTTTATTTTCCAATGTTGCTTTGCTTCTAGAATCCAGGACCATTGGCTCTCTGATTTTAATTTTTCCTCCAAGCTTCCATTAAACATTCCACAATTAGCTAAAATTCACAAAAGTTGTAATTTGTTGCTAAAGTGAGCGCATTCTAGAGCTACCTCCAAATAAAAGAGAACAAAAAAACATGAAAAAAAAATTGTTACAAAACCCCATTTTCTAAAGAAATATGCTGAATGCAATTCATTACAAACTCCATACATTGTTTTATCTTCTTGGCTTCAGGCAGACCTCTGTGCTTCCCTACTTGCGTTGTCTGTACTGCATTATGGGACATATATTGAAGGGAGCTGTACGTGAGCGTCAACCTTTAGCAAAGAAGATTTTTGTCTGCAGAACAATACATTTAGGGGCAAGTTAAGAATATGAGCTGCCACATTGTGGTGCCTACTCCAGTCTACTACTAATTATATATCACCTTCTAGCAAAGGAGAGCGTCAGAACAGAAATATACTGAATATATTCAGAACAGAAAATTGCCATTACTTGCACCAAAGCAAATATGAACCTGTACCAGCCCCTCTGTCACGCATTTGGCTTGTCGTCCATTGTATACAGTGCAGCAATAAGCAGATCTGCCTATATACTACTTATTGAAAATATTTGTAAACACATTGCCAACATATTTTAAAGAACTCTAAAATAAATTAAAAACACCAGGAGATGCAAAAAAGAAAAAAAACCATCTAAATAAAACACATTTTGCTCCGACAATCTGCACAGCGGTACCGGACACTACATCTCGTCAGTGCTCACTGCTGGTCGATGATAGACGGTGCAGCTTTCCCATTGCACAGTACTAAAAGCCTTCACTGCATTAGGAGACATGAACATGAATTGTTTTCCTGTTTCAGCTGTAACATGTTTAGGAGCACGAATGAACAGACAAAAACAAAAATTCACCAACACGCAGACATCATAAGAATAAAAAGAGCTTCCAAAATTATAATGAGGTCATCTAATGAGTCAACTCAACCCCTTCCTTCAGACTGTACGCATACATTACTCAAATCATGGACTCCCAGTCACAAAGTGACGATCAGGAACTGGTAGGACGGGTTCCCTAATAACCGTGACAGGGGATCACATCATTGGGAAGCCCATGAAGGCCAAATATGCACCATTGTTTCTGAACCCTACTACGGGTGTGAACAATAAATTGATGCGCACGTATGTGGTATCTCCATGCATGTCAGAGGTAGGAGAATTTATTTTGGGGTGTTTTTTGGTAGTGGGTCACAAACATTGCATGAAATATGAAGCTAAAAGGATTCTTAGCAAAAATGTTCCATTGGTAATGAACCAAATCGGGGGATATCCATCAATATTTACCACCAACCGAAGGGCCTAATGTGACCTTAAAAATCAAAACAAAAAACAAGGTATAAAATTCACCTGAACACACAAAGTAGTTACAAAGATACTTACAGTTTCATTGTCACACGTCGGCTCGAACTATGAGGCTGACTGATTTTCACTCACCTCATTAGTTCTCCTTTAAGGTTTGTTTTACCTTCCGCATTGAGGGGTTGTATACATAGTAGTAGTTTATGGAGCTGCTCAACTTTCATTGCATGTAAAGTCTCAAAAAACATGCGAGTAACCAGATACTCTATTTCCTTTCAAGCTAGCAGAAAGAAAAAGAAAAATCACCTATAAATGGCTTTTAAGTGTCTCGTTGACCATTGAAGGGCAACGTCTCTCAAGGTCATGAGGGCTTAGGCCTTGCAAGTCCATACTTCCAACACACCGGGGACATGAACTAAGATCTGCAGACATATTTAACATACAGAATAAAAACATGAAAAAAAATATTCAAGCACACCAAGAGTAATAAACGATCTGCTTTTAGGACTTTTGGTCTCCCCTCTGCTGCTTACCTGCTGCCTGAAGTGGTCTACCTCCGGATCTGACTGATGTACCGATTCTGTTATTTTCAGGGATGGATTTTGTGTGAGATAGAGACACTGGTATGGAGCAGCACGGGTGAACGAATGACCTAAAGTAAATTTTTTAATTTAAGATGGGGACAAAAAGGAAAAAAAACTAAAATTCTAAAATTCACATTAGAGCTTCATTCACACGGGGCACGTTGCACCCATCCAGCATGAAGAGCAGTTTGCTGATGTGCCCAGAGCTGAGGGAAGAAGCTTGTGGGCAGCTCAGGTAAGTCTAGGACGACACAGGAGCTGTGCGTGCTCACACAACGCTTCCAGCAGCTCCGAATTTTCACATCGCTTCACACACCTGGATCCATCACATATACGTCTGAGGCCGTACATGATCTGTGAGGGAACACATTCCCTGCGTCTCCTTACATGACCTGCCCGCACGCTTCTTCATACATCTCTCATGTTTTCCTAGCCCCTAAAACTGAGAATTGCTTAAAGAATTTACAAAGGCCAAAAACAGCAGAACTGGAAAGAAGGATCACAAGTGCTTTATGAAGTCAGAGAAATGCTTGACTACCTGCATACATGCTCACAGCACAGTTGGAACATCTACAAAATGCATAGCTGGTCAATAGATGTATTAAAAAGCACAATAAATACACACAAGCCAAAATCTACAGGCTGAACTGCCACCCAGAAGTTTCGAAAACTGCAACAATTAAGCAAAAGTTTCTGAGGTAGAAAAAGAAGTGAAAAACCATCAGCTCTAGGAGAAGCTAAGGACCGCCTCGGAAGTAAAGTGCCAGCATACCTTGAAAAAAGTACATATTGCCCACACAGCCGGGGAAAACCTTTTGGGGGCAGAGGTAAGTGGAGGATGCAGTTTCATTACTGAGCAAAGAGGTCGCCAAATCACACAAAAAAAAAAGAAGAGGGCAAACTGCAAAATAAAATCATCAAATGCTAGTCTTGCAACTATTCCAGTTCATTCTTAAAACTGCACTCCGTGCAGATGTAAAAGATTCGGATTGGCACAGCTCTGTATTCATTAATAAACAAACAGTCTGTCTGAAGGTCTCTGTACAATAGAGCTCAGACTGGGAGAGGGAGAAGCACCACAAAAGTCAGTGGATATTGCTGTAGTGCTCATTTTCTAGAGGACAAGCTGATGAGAGAGGAGCACATCAGTCTTCTGCTTCTCCTTTCACTGCCCCGTTACAGACTGGGGGAATGCCAAGATCTGCTATACGCAGCTGCATGAGGCTTGTTGGATGGAAACTTCAAAAGGAGAATGATGGGAGAGTGAGATACACTCATCCCCATAATTAGAGCCGAAGTGCGACACTGCAGCTGTCACACGTTGACTCTACTGATCGGGAATGGAGCAATCATATTGTTCAGTTCCTGATCATCTACCTGCAGAGAGGGACCTATCAATCATCACTCCACGCAGGGATTTCCCCCCTCCCCTCTCCGTTCCTCCAGCACTGACCAGGAGGGGGGGGGGGGAACAGATGGGAGGGGTAAGCACAGCTGGCTCTGCCTCAGCTATCAAACAACAATATTGTCTGGATCCATCCCGGCTGTAGCACGGCTCTGCGCTGTCAGCATACAACAGGCAACCTGCTATAGGCAAAAGAGAACTATGTCTAAAAAAGGTTTGGGCCATAGTTCTTTTAAATAGAGTAGTTGCAATTTATGCTGCAAACATTCGCTTTACAATACTGAAAACAATTAAAATTAGAAAGACTTTATAAATTACCCCCCATGATGTCGAACAGGTATTTTAAAAAAAACTAATAAAAGGGTGAAAAAGTTGAAGGTGTTGCTAACGGCACCCGGTCAGAATCTTGCTTTTCTTTTCAAATCTGCAATAGCAGGTGGCTCTGGAATCTAGCAACCAAGGGCCCGACCTCCACTTTGCTCATCCTGTACTCTGAATGCATCCTCACATTCAATCTGGTCCCAAAATGGCTTTCCACTGGTCTGTGCGGACGACAGCGCATGTTGCATCGAACTCAGAATCAAACCACATTATCGAATAATTACAAAATAATGAAACAATCCACTTATAAATTAAACAGAACAGAAATCTAAAAATTTACAATATCAGTTTGGTAAAAAGTCTACCAAAAACATAAAAAGGAAAAACAAAACCCCAGCATAATAAAATGTAAAGCCGTGTACTGTACGAGCGTAGGAATTTAGCACTTCATCGTAAGGAGGTAGAGTCCGCTATATACAAGAAGTGACATCATCCCACATTTGCTCTGATAGGTCATTTTTTTGTTTTGTTTTTTCCTATGAAAGTTTAGAAAGACTTAAATAATTACAAAAATAGCCATTTTTGTAAATTAATGACATCACGCTTTTCTTCAAATTTTGCATTTGAGGGATATGCATAATACTGGAGGAATTTGTTGGCAAGCAGTTTGCGATTCCATAGGCAATTTAGAACTTGGACACATAGCTTGCTCTATATCCAAGTCAAAGAAAAAAAGCCCGATTTCGTTGTGCAACTAGAATGCTGAAACTCCTGTAATGTCAGCTGGTAAGAAAGTGCCCGATAAGCTTTGAGTTGCGTTTTTTAAAAAAATGAACTTGTCCTTTAAGACCCAATTATCTGGCTTCGAAAATAAAAAGGATGAAATGATCAGGATCCAACTAAAATTTCCATAATGTGGTCCAAATCGTTGAGATCTGTCCTGCATACTTGCATGTTGTTGTTGGAGGAATTATTGCACGTTGTATATAGTTTTAGAGGTTCTTCGAAGGTAGGCTGCATCCTTGGGGAAACCAAGAAAGAAAAGCCAACATCCGAGTCGTACATTGACGTATCGATGTCGTCAAAAATGTCATCCGCGGAGAAATCTTTTAAGTAACTGGTAGAGCTTGTAAGTTCGAAAGAACCAAAGGCGCACTCTGCTCCTCTCGCCTCTTGTTTTTCGGCTTTGAGGACACTTTCCACAGGTTTCGGAGGCTCGTCCGCAACAGGGCCCAGCGAGGGATTAGGGCTGGTGTCCTCCACAAAGTCTAGATCCTTGAGAATCGATGAAATGGCAGAAGACATGTCATCATCTGTGACCTCCATCAGATTTTCCGCCGGGTTCTCACTGGGCCAGGGATCCTTTGTAAAGTCGGCGTTGATTCCTAAAGGCAGATTTAAGGAGCTCTCCAGGAATTCACTTCCTGTGTACAATAAACCGTTGGAGGTAACATCATGACCCACAATCCCCGGCAGCTGGCTGGCCTCCTGCCTCGTTTCCTCCTGAATCTGACGAACTGTATTGGCTATGAGCACGGAGCGGTGCAGATTCGGCTCCGCCAGCATTTTATAGCTTTGCAGCTTGTTGAGGCACATGTTGAGCACTAGCTGCCTTTGATGACTGTATGGCATGCTTCGGTTGCAATCTGAGGCACAAGGAAAGTCAGTCATGGTCTCTTCACAGTCATTAAACTTGCGTTTAAGTCCTCTACCAAGCATGGGTCTGTAGAAACAAAATGGTGACGGTTTTGTTATGCTGAGCACAATAAATGAAATCAATTTGATTGATCTATTGGAACAAAAACTTGCCAACAAAGTCACAGAAAGTAAGAAAAATAATAATATTTATATACACACACACACTATATATTGCCAAAGTTATTGCCCCCCCCCCCAAATCATTGGATTCAGGTGTTCCAATCACCTCCATGGCCACAGGTGTATAGAATCACGCACCTCGGCATGCAGACGCTTCTACAAACATTTGTGAAAGAAGGGGGTCGCTCTCAGCTCAGTGAATTCAGGCGTGGTACCGTGATAGGCTACCACCTGTGCAATAAGTCCATCCGTGACAATTCCTTGCTACTAAATATTCCACGGTCACCTGTTAGTGGTATTATAACAAAGTGGAAGCAACTGGGAACAACAGCAACTCAGCCACAAAGTAGTAGGCCATGTAAAATGACAGAGCGGAGTCAGCGCATGCTGAAGCGCACATTGTACAGAAGTCACCTTCCACCCACCGAATGTCGAGAAGGTCCCCCTTTTGTCCCCAAAACAGCCCTGGCCTGTCCAGGCATGGACTCCACTAGACCTCTGAAGGTATGCTGTGGTACCTGGCACCAAGCCGTCAGTAGCAGATCCTCTAACCGCTCATTGGACCGCCCATTGTAAAAAAAATCATCTCCTGAAGCGGATATATATGCTCCTGCAGCCGTGTTCTTGGTATCATTTTGAAGAGGATTGCTGCGATTTCTCTTTAAATACAAGCAATCCGACGGCTCTACAGCCATCGGATCGCTTGTACGGTGCGGCATTGTGTGCCCTCTCC